GTCCAGAGCCCTTCTCTCTAGAACTTCTCTCTAAAAAAACTCATCTCCTCAACTGCTCAAAACCTCTATTTATAGATATTCCGGAGTGGCCAGAACGGCCTGTACCAAAACTGAAACGGCTCGTTCTGCACCCCTTCATCATGTGCAAAAATCACATGCAGAACGACCCATTCTAAAATCAGAACGGCCCGTTCTGGAACTCATCCAGAACGGCCCGTTCTCCATCCAGAACAGTCCGTACTCTCCTCCAGAACGGCCCGTTCTCCCTCCAGAACGACCCATTCTCCAACTAGAACGGCCCGTTCCAGATTGGGAACGGCCCGTTCTGGGCTACTAAAACACCAACTTGCTACGTCACAAAACCCCTAACAAATAGGAATTTTCGTCCCCGAAAATAGGCTTACTTGGGAAAAGAAACGGATACCGCTCCCTGCACTGCTGCTCTACCTCCCAAGTAGGCTCACTAGTAGCTGCATCCCACAACACCTTCACCAGAGCAATAGACTTGCCCCTCAGCTCCTTCAGCTTATGATCCACCACATCTACCGACAACTTCTCAAGCGTCAGGTTCTCCTTCACCCACACATCATCTAGCTCCACCACATGACCAGGGTCATGAACATACTTCCTCAGCTAGGATACATGAAATACATCGTGTAGGTTTGAAAGGGATGGTGGCAAAGTCAATCGATAAGCAACCGGACCCACACGATGTATTATCTGATAGGGACCAACAAACCTCGGTGTCAACTTCCTTGCCCTCAGCGCTCTACCCACACCAGAGGTCGGGGTCACCTTCAGAAACACATGCTCCCCCTCGGCAAACTCTAAAGGCTTTCGCCTTTTATCAGCATAAGATTTCTGCCTACTCTGAGCAGTCTTCATCCTCTCCTGAATCATCTTCACCTTCTCAATAGTTTGCAAGATCAGCTCCGGTCCCACAACCACTGACTCACCATCTTGATACTAGCACAGAGGAGTCCTACATCTCCTGCCATACAAGGCTTCAAACCGCACCATCCCAATACTAGCATGAAAGCTATTATTGTAAGTAAACTCTACCAGCGGTAGGACCTCCCCCCAGCTTCCCAAGTGATCTAACACACAAGCCCTCAGCAAATCCACCAACACAGCTTTCTTCAGCTCAGCATCATGAGGTAGGCAAATCCTGCCCTTAAACCTCAAGATTCCATCTTTGCCCAGCTCAAAACCAACAGCCTTCTCAGTACCCAACAAACTAAGAAGTTTCACCAGCTCAACATCTTGCAACTGCTTCTGTCCAACCTGCCTCAAGAACTCACTAGTTATGGTAATCATCCCACAACTAATGTGATCCTGAGCTAATTTCGCACAGAGATTCAGATATCTGAATTCTTTAACCAGCTCTAGCTCTTTCACCATCAAACTAGACATGTGGATGAATTTCCTACTCAGTGCATCCGCCACAACATTGGCCTTCTCAGGATGATACATCAACTGGAAGTCATAATCCTTCAGAAATTCCATCAACCGCCTCTTCCTCATGTTTAGCTCCTTCTGATCAAACAGGTACTTCAGACTCTTATGATCACTGAGGACCCTGAACTGAGCACCATAAAGGTAATGTCTCCCTATCTTCAAGGCAAACACAACTGCTGCTAACTTCAAGTCATGAGCAGGATAATTTCTCCCATGGTTCTTCAGTTGCCTTGAAGCATATGCCATCACTTTCCTGTTTTACATCAGCACACACCCAAGACCCTGGTGAGAAGCATCGCAGTACACATCAAAGGACTTACCAGAATCCGGCAACACCAGCACAGGAGAAGTAGTCAACCTCCTCTTCAGCTCATCAAAACTCCGTTCACAGGCATCTGTCCAAATGAATGGCTTCTCCTTCCTCGTCAGCTGGGTTAGAGGCGCTACTATCTTGGAGAATCCCTCAATGAACCTTCGATAGTAACTCGCCAAACCCACAAAGCTCCGAATATCAGTTACAGTTCTTGGATGCTTCCACTGCAACACCGACTCCACCTTAGCCGGATCAACAGCAATCCCCTTAGCTGAGATCACATGGCCCAAGAACTTCACTTCATCCAACCAGAACTCACATTTTGAAAGCTTAGCGTACAGCTGCTTCGCCTTCAAAATCTCCGGCACCATCCTCAAGTGCTCACCATGCTCCTTCGGGGTCCTTGAATAAATCAGGATGTCATCAATAAATACCACCATAAATTTATTCAAGAAGGGCCGTAAGATCCTGTTCATGTAATCCATGAACACTGCCGGGGCGTTGATCACACCAAATGGCATCACAACATACTCGTAGTGACCATACCTAGTCCTGAAAGCAGTCTTCAGTATGTCACCCTCCTTCACCCTGATTTGGTGATAACCTGACCTCAAGTCAATCTTCGAGAAAACCGATGCTCCCTTCAGCTAATCCATTAAGTCATCTATCTAGGGAAATGGATATTTGTTCTTAATGGTCAACTTGTTCAACTGCCGGTAATCCACACAAAGTCGACTACCTCCATCTTTCTTCTTCACCAACAACACGGGAGCACCCCACGGCGATACACTCGGCCGCACCAACTGCTTCTTCAACAGGTCCTCCAACTAACCTTTCAGCTCAACCAGCTTAGTTGGGACCATCCTATAGGGAGCCACCGACACTGGCCCCGCATCTGGAGACAAGTCAATGCTAAACTCCATCTCCCTAATAGAAGGCAACGCAGACACCTCATCCGGGAACACCTCAGCAAAATCCCTCACCACATCAATCTCAGCAGTGACCCTCTCGGTCTCCACACTCATAGCAACAAGCAAAAGACAACACTCTGCCCCATCTCTCAACAATGATTCAGCTTGACCAGCTGAATCAACAGCTCCTCCTCTAGCAGTAAGCATATGGTGAGTACCTCTCCACCAATGCTCAGCCTCCCCAACCAGCATGTAGACAGCAGATGCCAGCCTCCTCTCCTAAGAACATCCCAACACAGTGAAGATCTCCTCCAGCTCACAGATCCAGTGGTTAGCTACCTCTGGGTATGCATCTCCCTTGAACTGTGGAGGGCAACATTTCCGGAACTCAGCTAGATCCTGGCTCTCCTGTGACCCCGTGGGCCTTGCTGCACCAGCTGCAGCTCTATCAGCATCCATCATAGCAAAATAAGCATTTTACTGTTACATAGCCATAGCCATCATCTCCATGGCACGGACTATCTGCTCATTGGTTCTAGTCATTGTCTACAGAAGTAACAACATCTTCAGTATACAATAACTAAACCAAACAACCATCAACAACACAATAATCAATGAAGAAATCAGCACAACAAAACAACACAGCAAAGCAACACAACACAGAGCTCAGCACAACAAAAGCCTAAAGGAACCACCCTCACGGAGTGTCCACTAGACTCGAACTGCTCTGATACCACTAAAGTGTAAAGACCCGCCTGGTCAATACACACAGCACAACACACCAGAATACTACACAGAAACAAACAAGTATATATATATAGGATCTAGAATATATATATATATATATATATATATATATATATATATATAGGATCTAGAATATATATATATATATATACAAGGTCCAAATCCGTCTAGAATCAGAGTGTACAAAAATACATCCAGCAAATGCTAACTAAGTAGCTAAATAAATCAAAAGAATAAAAACTCCATCTGTTAGCTACAGACTCTCCTCAGCAAACACCAACCAGAACGGCCCGTACTCCCCTCCAGAACGGTCTGTTCTCAATAATGATATACAGGTCATTTTAATAGCTTGGAACGGCCCGTTCCAGATTGGGAACGACCTGTTCTGGGCTACTAAAATACCAACTTGCTACGTCACAGAAACAATAATAATGATGACAATGACAATATATCAATGATAAAAACAATTATAATTTTGAATGTATGTGATATTCTTTTATAATTTTTTTAATTTAAATAATTTATTTTAATTCAAAGGTGATTATTAGTTGTTTTGATGTATAAGTTTCATCATTTAATTTGCCTACATTATTTAAGTTCGCTACTTTTTTTTGTTATAAATTTATTTTAAATTATATTATTATAAATTATTATTTAAATTAAGAATATTCATATAATGTGTCGCATACTTGATAGGAAATCATGAGTCTTAAATCTCGATGATTGTGTAGAGAGATGCTAGTTATATCTTATTAGATATAATAATCTTCGGTGAGAGATTTTGGATGCTTATACGAAACTTTACGTTCAAATATATATATAAAAAAATCATATTATGCGAAATATGTGACTCTTATTCACAATTCACAAACTAGTCACACTCGCACGATTCGTCAAATCATGTCCATTTGATACACTAACAAAATCTACACATCTTTTATACTTATATAACATATATAAAAGTCCTGATTTGGTACACAAAATTTTTAGAAAATTTTATTTTTAAAATTTTAAAACTCAAACTTCGAATCTTGAAATTTGAAGAGAAACACAATATTAATTAATCTAATAAATATTAATAATATTTAAATATTTTATTAAATAAAATATAAAATAATTTTATTTTATTAGTATAAATAAAGAGGATATAAGAATATATAATTATTTTTGTCTCTATTCTTTTTAGATAATCAAGCACAATTATTTAATATATCTTATAAATGTAATAGTTAGAGATGTCTGATTTTATACGAGCTTTGATTATGGTAAGAATTTCATGCATATTAAAAAGATTGTTAAGAAATTTAATATTAATTACTCATGTTGTATATAAGTGACCTTGTCAATGAATTAAAAAAAGGGAAGTTTAATTAGACCGTTTTATTTATCGCATGTTGGGATTAAACATGAAAAGCCTCACGAAAAAAAGAAAAAAAGAAAAATGCAATGTGGTTTTTGGGGGATGACAATGGCGAAGGATTCACATTTCATTTCACAGTTTAAAAACATCAATTTCAGGGTCGTATCGATACACAAATCCACACAAGATGAGCAATTGGAGATAGGTTCAATCCACCATACATTCATTGCAATTTCATTACAATAATCCTTGTTAATAATTTGATACACCCACTTCCAATTGATGCAAACCCTATAATACGATTCCTTTCCTTTTCAAATCTTCGTTTTCTCCCTCTTTCCTTTTTTCTTGATTATTTTGTCATTGTGACACATGATTAATATTTTCACTCTTATGCATTTTTGCGCTGCCATTAGTTGTTTATCATTTTACCAGCTTCACGTGATAATCTCGAGATTTCTTTTCCCTTCTACTGTATCAATATTCACTGTATATTAATGATAATGATCAAATCCCAGGACAACAAAGAAACCCATTTTCGTCCTTTTCATTAACATCAATGTGAGTCTGGGAAGAGATAGGTTAATCATGAGAAATATTTTTCTTTAAAATTTTTTCATTAAGTTATAAAATAAAATGTTTCTCTAAAATTACACTAATCTAAAATCATATTACAGTATTAAGTTATAACATTGTTAATCTCATTTCTACTTGTTCTATTATTCATATTTGCAGGTTTAGTTTCACTAGCCTGCTCCTGCTTCTTCCATGTAATGTCTATATCAAAGAATGGGTTTAAATATGTCAAGGTTGTTTGAAGGGGGCAGCAAAATTTGCTGCTAATCACAATTGATAATATTACCTAAAAGGGAGATATGTGTGTGCTGGTTATTATGATATATGAATGTCGTAGCTGCTTGGGGAGGATGTTTTCTTGGTTTGAAACATTGAAGCTGGAAGGTAGAGAGTTAGCCTGATGTAATGCCACGCTCTAAGAATGTCAAGTCGGAGGCTATGTTGGAAACTGTACAGGAGATTGGCATTTATATTCATAGGTTTCACAATCTTGACCTTTTTAAGCAGGGGTATATACATTCTTTTTTAACTTTTTTATTTTTTACTTCCTTTTTTTTTGTTAATTTCTAAATTGATTTATGTGTTGTTTTGAACAGATGGTATCAAATTAAGATTACTGTGAGATGGGAGGACAGTGAAAATATAGCATTTGGAATTCCAGCTAGAATTGTTCAATATGAAGGTATTTTTATCAAAATTATGCTCTGGTGGGTTTGTGCAAAAGTAAATTGGGTTATATTTTATACTTGAAAAAGAAATGAGAACAAGAGGCTATAGAAAGTTAGAAATATTCAGTATGCCATAAATTGGGATAGCATTTGTTCTTTCCCAAGTATGTTTTATAGCCATGCTTGAGAGATTGTGAGTCTCTTATTTTGTTATCATTAACACGACTTTCTGTAAAAAAAATCTCCTATCTCTATGTGGATATACAATTTTCTTAAAAATGAAATCTATAAAGAGGCTTTTTCTTATATGCATAAGTGATACTGAGGTAGGAAATATTTGGTTTTGCAGCTCCTGATTTGGATCCTAGCAATACATATGGTGCATGGAAGATCGATGATACAGATAATAGTTTCTCAACACAATCTTTTCGGATAAAATACGCTAGGCAGGATGTTCATTTATATTTGATGACCGTATTCAACTTATCCCGTAGTAAATTTGTGGTAATGATCACTGTCATTTCTTCTATTTCAACAGGTAACAAATGGAAATGACACCTTATAGGCATCAAATTGTATCCTGGGTGCCAAATACTTGTTGTTAAGTTTCCCTAGACCATACCATGTTGGTTGGCATAACAATTGTGTATAAATGTAGACATACACATGTATGTATTATTGTAGACAGCATTCGAGCCATAAAAAACCCAAGACGTATTATTATGAATGAGTTCATTTATGGATTAATTATAATATTAGCTAGGTTTAATCAGGTTAAGATATTAGGGTTATTAGGCTTAGCGTATTGGATGTTTTTTAAAGTTTATGTTAATATATTAAAATTATTAGGTTATTAGCTATATTGCTTGTGAGTTTGAGCTTGTATCAGTAATACTACTATACTATACTAGTATCTGACCTATCAGTATGCATAGAAGCATTTTGATAGGACATTGCAACATATTACTGCTGAATTTTGTGTTTTTTATTGAAACTAATTGTTAGGGAAATGCTTATGGAAATAATTGGTTGAGTCTTGTTTGTCAGATTGATGTTTTCATGATCTTATTTTTCACGTGTGTGTACTGAAGGTTAAATGAAGTATTGAAAGAAAAATAAATACAAAACTAGATTTCATCTGTCACTAAAGGGGAGGTGGAATACCCAAAATTAAAGATTACCCAATCTTTTATGACAAACTAAGTAACATAGCACTACATTGTTTGCTATTCCTTGTCCCGGAATTCAATATCCTCAACAAATTAACCTGTTTTATGTGGCCCATATTTGCAGGATTTAGCTACAACTGCTGTTATTTTAAAGTTTGAGCTTTTATATACTCCCACAACTGAGAATGAGTGAGTCACAAAAATAGTGTACTCATGGCCTATTGTATAATCCAAACACATGTTCGTTTCATTTTTGATTGATATCTACTAGGTGAAATTGATATGTTGATTGCTGACTGGAGCATATCATCCACAGTGCTGACGAAGAAGCTTCTACGGAGGATTCTCCTGCTGCTATCCATGAATTTCGAATTCCTCCTAAAGCTCTTATAGGATTGCATTCGTATTGTCCTGTCCATTTTGATTCTTTACATACAGTGCTTGTTGATGTGAGTGTACATGTCAGTCTACTAAAAGCCATCCCAAAGTTGCCCAGGTTCGTTAGATGTTCTTGTTTTTCAGTTTGAATATACTAGACTTTCATTTTATCATTATTTGTCCATTCAAAATTTATTTCAAAGCAATTTTGATCGCGAATTTGTTTTTAATCATCCTTGATTAACCTATTCACTTGATTTATTTCAGCAATTCTGCCAACACCGAAGTCATTATTGATAAAAGTAATGACACAACGAATAAAGTATGCTCTAAAACATTATATGTCTCTTTTTGATAAACATCTTTCAAGTGTTGATCAAGTTGACTTTATGTAAAATATTTATTACAAACATCCTTGCATTTTTTCATGTCTGTGATCTTTCTTTGCTTTATGTCTATTTAGGAGGAAGCATATGGATATTTCATTGCACATGAACTGCATTTTTGTTTTGTACTTAATTCTATATTCTCCTGGTCATACCTCAAAGTGTACCATGCATTGATAACATCTTAACAATATTTTTCTTTTAAATATAATCTATTATGCTTGGTATTTTGGTTTAAAGGAAAATAAATTTCATATAAACTAAATTTTATGCCCAAAAAACAGGATTGGAGAATGGAGACTAGCTCCTCACACTAAAACCAAATTCTAAAGTTGTTTAAAAAAGAACAAATTAAAATGGAAATCACATGATAGAGAGACTCCAACCTTAGGAATGCCCATCCCTACCTACCCAATCTCTCCACGCAATTCTTCCCCCTTTCCCTATATCCTTTTATTTGCATTTAACATTTTCTCTAACTGAACCTTCCTCACACCTTTCCCCCCTGCCACATGTCTAGGCATCCACCAAAGTTTCTCCCATGAAAATTATTCCATCACATCTTTCTTACTCAAACAACATATTATTCATATGTCTTTTCCTTTATTTATTTTCCCATAGACCGTAGTCAAATGAAAGTGTCTATCAAAGTAACTTGTAAGTTTTTCTTAGAAGGCATGATGTATTGGATAGCACAAACTATGGTATGCATTTACTTCTTTATACCATCAATGGACAAAAAAATATTTTCATGTTAATTTCACCCCTTCAAACACTTGGTAAAAAGCTTTGCACCAGCTTTGGAAATGAGGAGAAAATTATTTAACTACATTAAGTATGGTAACTTCAAAGTTTGCATTTGGTAATATGGGATGATGCATATTCTCATTCCTTTTTAAGACTATATTCTATTATGTAATAATCTTTAGACATACTTTTTCAAGCATTAACAGAACGTTTTGTGTGGCTGAACAGGGCATTGACGAAGTTGCTTCTCTAGATATGAAAAATGTCATGCTTGTTAAAGCATTACAAATTGCTCGTGATATATTGCTTGAAGAACTACAAAAAATTAGCAATGCAATTAATGAAGCTTTAGATATTTCAGGGTTTGTGTCAATAATGAGTAATGCGAAGTTACTAAATTCTGTGCAGCAAGCAAATCCATTTCCTTTAGATGTTGATGTTGTAGGACAAGGGAAGCCTTCAAATGATCTCAAGGTCTTTGCTTTTATTTCATACTACATAACAATATTTTTTTGTTTCACTTTTATTTTGTTTTCCTGATTCTTCTTTTTTAATTCTTTGTTCTACAGGGAGGAAATGAAACTTCAGATTTCTTGAATGATGAAAAACTCCATTCACTGTCTCAAAATGAACTGCTGGACTGTTTTCATTCATTGGGAGATCAATTATTCTATTTATGGAAAATATTTTTAAAGTTTCATAGGTATTATTCTTATCCTCAATTAAGAGATTCGTTACAAATCAATAAGATGTGTGATTTTTTAAATTTAGCATTTGAATCTGATTCATGTTTTAACTTCATTTTTCCTTTCTTATTATTTCAACGGTTTCAATACAATTTTAATCAATAGTTTGATTAATAAGCGTTTTTTTTCTTCTTTTCTAATTGCCTTTTAACAAGCATGAGTTAATTTGGTCAGAGACTATCAAGTAGATGAAACTATTTTAGGGGGTTGTTATATCATGAACCTTTGTTTCCTTCAATTTCTCCTCATCATCCCATATAATTTGGGTTGTTATATCATGAACCTTTGTTAAAATTTAGAAGATAATTCAACATGAATACACGGAAAATTTAGTATGCATTCATTATTGCACATGTTGAAATGCATATAACATGATATTGATCCAGTTTACTACGTCTACATGGGAATTACAAGTTGTGGTCTTTGCATGGCTTATACTTATACTCAAACATATACAATGATTCATGAAACCTTATCTTACCTTGTTTAATAAGTTGATAATTACATCTTCTTAGGGATAACAGAACAAAGATTCTAGGATTTTTACGTGATGCGTGGGTTAAGGATCGAAAAGTTGAATGGTCAATATGGATGTTGTATTCAAAGGTAGAGATGCCTCATCAGTATATAAACAATAACAATAAGAGTGATGAGTCTTCCAATCGTGTACACAGACGAGTTTCCACTTTATGGAAGTTACCTGATGAAGTAAGTGCTTGTATGTTTCCTTTGCATTCTCAGTATCATGCTAGTTGCTTTGAGAAAAGGAACATGTGGAAAATAAATACTTTTTGACGCAATGCACTTAAAAGCATAAATTTTGTCTCATAAATCATACAGCCTCTTCAGACTGCAGCTACACGTGCCGAACTTCATCGGAAGAGCATCGAACAAATGCGGGTAAACTATCGAAAGTTGAATATGTGACAGTTACATATGGTCTATTAATGAAATATTGATAATTATTTTGTAGTTTAACAACCGCTCGATTCAAGACATGCAAATATTTGGAGATCCCTTGCGTACACCAATTGTGATTGTTGAACATGTGATGAATGTACCTCGACGTTGTCCAAGTGACAATTCTTTACTGAGAAATATTGGGGATATAGATTCAGATGGCTTACCAATTGGCCTCAACTCTGATAATATAAGCAAGAAATTAGCACCACAAAGTAATGCTCGTGTGTTGAAGATTGTTGTCTTTGTGCATGGGTTTCAGGCATGTCTTGTGGATTTTAATTGCAAAACCATACCTTCTATTTATGTAGAATTTAAGCTTGTTAGTCTTTTTTCTTTTCTTTATTTTTTTGGTGGGAGGAGTCAAAAGCTTTTAGGTTTATCCACCTATTTTAGAGAATTTGCAAGTCATAAACTGATGAACTCTTTGTCACATTCTCAAAATAGACTATCCTGTCCTAAATCGTCAAACCAGGTAAGGTCTGCGTAACTTTTAATCTAGTTGGCAAACCAAAAGCCAGTATGGTTTAAACTAGTCGGTCGGTTAACCAGTTAATAAATAATAATCAAAAAAATATCCTTGAGTCAATTTAGACCTCAGGTTAAACAATGTGAAAATTCTAATTCACTAAAAACATGAAGTTAAATAGCTTTTCCTATTATTTTTCGTATTCTCTGATTGGATGTTGTTTCATCATTTCTTCTCTTTACTTAATCCACTACTTTGCTTTGTGTTCTGTTATCGCCATTTGTTCTTCTAGTTGTGATTATTAGTGGGAGGAAATGGATTTGTTCATCTTATTATGCCTGAGATGGGAGAAATGGTATAATCATCTAAAAGAACAAGTAGAGAGTTGCCTCCAAAGATAATAGATGAAAGTGTTGTCATATTAGATAAAGTTGCTCCTAAATAGTTCAATAGATGACCTATCTTTGCAGAAAAGGGCTATTACTGAGTTAAAGTTGTCTTAAATTGGTGTTTTACCATGTAAGGTGTGACTATTGTTGCAAGTCTGAACAAAAGTTATCCCCACACATTGTGCTTTTGGTCGCTTACTAGAAAAGTAGAGATGGTAAAATGAGTTAAATGGCTCATTGCGGGGGCTAGCTAAAATCTTTTAAATCGATGTTCAAGTTCAGTCCTATGCAGGTTTTTTGAACTAGTTTGGTATTTTTAACTTTTTTGGTAGTTATTTTTTATACATTTATGAAATTTGACCTAAGTAGTTATTTTGATATTTTTATTGAAATATTTGTTTTAATGTAATGAATAAAATATAAATAATTAATTTATTCTATTATTACATTTAAGAAAAATATTGGAAATTGACAATGTGACAATTGTTGCAATTATTTTTAATATAAAAGTACTTATAAATATGTTATTCTTATTTATTGGTTTATAAAGTTGGAGCAAAAAAAATACCTATATTATATATAATATTTAACTATTTTTCATAAATTTATAAAAATTATAATTTTATTAAGTCTATGTTTTTTAATTATTAAACTTTTATTCATCACTTAGTAAAATTAAATAAATATGCGGCTAGTCCATGGTATAACCAGCCTAGTCTAGCCAGATCCCGTTTTTGACACGGAATTGATCGGAGTGAACTAAAAAGACAATCATTTGAATTGGGTTTGAAATTTAAAGTCAAAGCCTATAACTTATTGTGCGAGTTCTGACAAACTCGACCCATTTTGCTAGCTCAGCAGAAAAAAAGTTAGAGGTTTGGAAGTAAGAGTTTCCCAATTTGTTTGTCTTCTTCCCGGACACGAGATCCAATGTTGCTTCTTTGTCCTTTTTCTGTATGTTAAACATAAACAGTTCATGATCTATTATTTTGTTGACTTTCTCTTTTCTTCTTGGTGACAACTTCATGTAATAATGGTTTAGTTTCTTCTGTTATTTTCTGTTTGGATCTGTCATAATTTCAGATGAAGGTTGTAGAGCTCTACACTGAATTTGTAGGTTTTGGGATTCAGGCTGCCCATGTTCATTGGCTAGATAAGCCATGCTCTTTGTCTTGTGTTTATATGAGTGTTGGTTGTTGGAAAACATTTTAAGATGTACGTTATCTTAGAATTTCTTTCTTCATCTGTTTTCTGGTTTTAATAGGTTTTATTTTATTGTTTAGTGGGCTCGCGTTTGGGCTTGTAGTACTTGACCTAATTAGTATAGTTAAGATAGTCAAAGTATTAACTGATAAAGTAAACTTAACAATGGTCAAGTATATCACTAGTACTTGATGGACTAAATGTCTAAAACCATGTTTTTGTTCAGTATTTGGTTAAAAAATGATTCAATACTTATTCTTCACCGTTTAAAATGTTTTAGGGGCATCATCTAGATCTACGACTTGTCCGAAATCAATGGGTTTTGATAGATCCCAAAGTAGAATTTTTGATGTCAGAGGCAAATGAAGATAAAACATTTGGAGACTTCGGAGAGATGGGACATAGGCTAGCTAAGGAAGTTATTTCTTTTCTTAAAAGCAAATTGGACAAAGCATCAAAATTTGGGAATTTGCGAGATATTAGACTTAGTTTTGTTGGACATTCTATTGGTAACCTCATTATACGATCCGCGATAGCAGGTAGGTCACAATTGTAAAAGCAATGTTCGTCAGTTTGACATTAGTACTGATTTTTGTCCTGTGTATGCAGATAGCATAATGGAGCCATTTCTAAGACACCTACATACATATGTTTCGGTATCTGGTCCACACTTGGGGTATCTTTATAGTTCAAACTCATTGTTTAACTCTGGATTGTGGTTTTTGAAGAAGCTAAAAGGAACACAGTGCATTCATCAACTCACTTTCACGGATGATCCAGATCTCCAAAATACATTTCTCTATAAATTGAGTAAGGTAAGGATTGTGTCCTACATTTCTTGAAAATTTCTTTGTTTTCGAAAATAATAATTCCTAAGTCTGTTATTTTTGAACTCTCTGATAAATGTTTCAATGTTTACATTGTGTTAATGAATATTGACTATTTTTGGCATCTATAGTTCAACTAAAAGTTTATGGTGAGGAAATATAAGGGGCAAGGATGGTAGTGAAGATGAATTGGATAATAAAAAATAAAAGGAAGCAAGCAGCTAATAATTTTTTACCAAGTTACATAAAATTAATTCCTGAAATTGAACACTGCATGGATCATTTATATATACTACATTGAATTATTTATTTTGATGAGGTTCTAATAGAGTTCTTTCCATGTCCCCTCTTTTTTCAGCAGAAGACCTTAGAACATTTTAAGAATATTATCCTGCTATCTTCCCCTCAGGTATTGCTTTCTCTTCTTTATTCTTAAAATCATTTTTAGGAATGTTATCTACTATCACTCTTATACACATTTGCTTTTAATTAAAATTTATTTGTTTAGTGTTAAGTTTTACAATATTTTTCAGGATGGTTATGTTCCTTACCATTCTGCTAGAATTGAATCATGCCAAGCTGCTTCACGTGACACTTCAAAGAAGGGTAAAATATTCTCGGAGATGTTGGATGATTGTTTGGACCAAATTCGTGCCAACTCCACGGAACATCGAGTTTTCATGCGTTGTGATGTCAACTTTGATGCATCTACTCAAGGCAAAAATTTGGACTCCATAATTGGTCGGGCTGCACATATTGAATTTTTGGATTCTGACATATTCGCGAGGTTCATAATGTGGTCATTCCCAAATCTTTTTCGATAGCAGTTGCAATGATTTCCCTTCTCTGCATTGAATTCTAAAGCCTTTAACTTTAAGGCATAACCTGCCACTGACCAAGAGTACTCGAATTTTAGTGACAGGGTGTTGGAAGAATGGGTTAACAGGTGCATGTATGTCTGAGTTGTATATTTTATTTTATTTTTTTGCCTTGAAGATGTTCACAGTTGTTTCCTTTATGCATAGTTTTAGGAAGGGGCAACCACTATATTCCCTCTTTTTTGCAAGAGTTATAGTTCGAACTTCAACTAATATAAGATTATTTTAATTATATGATATTTTTTTTAAAATATATTAAAATTTAATTTAAAGATATTAATAAAAGATAGTACCTCAATCTAAGTTTTAATAATTAGGTCTTTCAAATTTTAGAGTAAAACTAGTACAGTGTCCATACTCATGTTATTATGTATATTTTAAATTTATTGAGATGATTTGTATTAAAAATATTGTTGTTTATATAAGTAATTTGTTGATTATAAAATACAAAGTTGTAAAAGGAAATTTTGAAACAAGTAACTTTTAAATGCATTTGTAATAGCTAGAGTGAAGATCAATTGTAGAGTAAAATTTTGAATAAAATCATGGTATTTCATACTTGAGGAGCATGATAATTTAAGTTTAATAAATAAAGTTTAGAACCACAACAAAATATATCTAAGAGATATGTAAATTGGGGTCATGTAACTACACATTAAAAAGCTACATGAGATATTTGACAAAAAAAAAAAAAAATCAAATGAAATCCAATTGAACAATACACTCAAGACAATATGAAATGAAAAGGAAAGTATGATTCATAACATGAGCTATATTGGTGTAAAAAAAATATGAGTTATATACAATGTAGGTAAATTTATTACATACTACATTTGGTTTAATTTAGCATAATGAATTTAATAACCTAAATTAGTTGTTAATAACTTCATTAATTCTAATTTATTTGGTCTTCATCATTTATTCAATTAACTATAAGATTGTAATGTGTTTCAAATATGACAGCTTGAAAAGTAATATTTGTCAACCAAGATTTAAAACAAATCATTATTTGGCTAAGGACATATATCAGGAACATTCCTTTATCAACAACCAAGGTTAGTTTTGTTATGTGTAGACAAAAATATGAGATTAAAGTTACATTTTCATGATACCTTAAATTTTAATATTTGGCGAGTTTGTATTTTGTCATTAAAATGGATTGAAGGGATGACACTCATGGTTCCATGACTATCGAACATGAAGCCAATGACATATTGAAGATCCTTAGATTAAGTATCATTGTCCATTAAGTTATAGCGCAAAACTCAATAGTGTTTAATTTAATTCAAGACTTTACTTATAGAATTGAAGGTTAGTAGAGGAATCATATATGGTACTAAAAAATCTCTTTAAATAGGTATATCTACCAAAGTAATAATGATTAATCGAAGAGTGATAAACTTCATATTTGGTAAGTTGGATATATAAAAGATTGATAAAATTAATTGAAGGTGGAATGATTAACTACATAGCCATTAAAATTTATAAAACAATATGCACAAATTTTCCTGAGACTCAATTCACCTAAACTTTATTGAATAAAAAAAATGACTATAAATATTTTGATAGAAGTCCTAACATGTCACCTTTAGTGTGTAACTATCATAGTTATTCTTGAACAAAATTCAATCATTTGAAATGCATAATTTAGATATAGTTCAACATGCATAAGATACACATATACACCACAAACATTCCTTATTTATGCCACATGTATACACACTAAAGATATATACACAGCTAAACATATTTTTATCATATCAAATTAATAGTTTAATACAATTGTACCAAGTTGACAACAAAAGAAAAACATGTTGACATCTATGTATTATAATGTTGCACTTAACTAATCGTATTTTGTTTGGTATAACATGTACAATTAAAAATGACATATATATAAACAGTCAAACATGTAAGTTTATGACACCAAATCTTGAGATCCATGATAAGTTGAATTTAGCTTCACCTAATATAATCGAAGTATGTCTCACATGTCATATTAAATGTTGAAATGGCAATGCATCTACTAGCACATTGAGAGATTAGTAATGCACCTTATTAATTTATTAGCTGAATCGCATGATTGAAAACTTTTGAATATGATCGTTATGTAAACAACTTGTGATCAAAACATAACACTAAGGCCATTTTCATTTATCACCAACCTACAATTTTTTTTTAATGAAATATCAAATATCAATGACATACACATAATTTAAATCACATTGACTTCTTGGATAGAAAGTCATAAACTTGAATGTAATGTAAATTTTGTTTATCATAGTTTAAAAATAACTAAATTAAAAGATAAAATGTAGAATGATGAATCAAATTTGTTTTGTAATTTTAGCAACATTACTTATGTATAATTCTTACTAAAATATTGAAAGTGTTGGTCAAAAATGAAAAAAAAAACAAATATTGATGTGGTCAAAAAGTTTGCAACATGTCATTCATATACATTACCTATTAACGTGAATTGAATTTTATAATTTATTATGAGTCAATTTATTTAAACAAACGTGAATTGAATTTTATAATAAATTATGTTAGACAATTTTTAACATCAACAAAGGTAGTGACAAAATCAAAGTCTCCTTATTAAACATGACATCCTTTACTCATCTTCTTCCAAAATCATAAAAGATCAAACATAATTAATCAGCATAAACAAAATTTAACAGTGACAAAACTAATAAAGAGTAACATAAAATAAAGTTGATAACTTTAAACAAACAAAAGAGATATAAAAAAAAATGTACACACAAGACACAATGTTTATTATTTGAGAAGAAAAAAATGAATCTGAAAAATGAGAAGACATTTTTAATATAAATAGAATGTAAAATATGAGGCAATATTTATCTAAACAATAGGTATCTTTATTCCCTAGCATATCATCTTTACTTTATCTTTTTCTAAAATCATGAAAAACTAAACATAATAAACTATGTAAGATGATTTTTATCATCAACAAAGTAAAAAATCAGAATCTCCTTATTAAACAAAACCATAAAAAAAAACATAATTCATCAAGGTGGATAAAATTTAGAGTAATAAAGCTAATAAAGAGTGATATAAAACACACATTTGTATATACATACAATGATGAAATGTATAAAAATTCAAATTGAAAATTGAGGAAGGATATAACTTATTCATACCACCCTATTATTTTTGAAACATTGAAAATGAAGATGCCCTCTCTCTCTCTCTCTTTCTCTCTCTATATATATAAATAAAGTTCTCAAAAAAGTATATTATAAACTTATCTATAAATTTGAGGGAGAAAAAAGAAACTCCAAATCTAGTTCCTATAACATAATACAATAAGTGATCTAATACGATATTAATTTCATTAAGTGAGCTAATATATTTCAATATAGATTCCAACAAGTAAATTAATAATATATAATAATTTTATTATTGATATCATAGTGCCTCTAGTGTGATGTATTAGTCTAATTAGTTTTAAAACAATATATGTAGAATTAAATATTGTAACTCTTGATCATAAATAGTTTTCTATGATTTCAAAATCAATCATTTCAAAGTACATTTAATTTTGTTAAAAAATTATATATGTGGTGTTGAAGAAAGAAGGATACCTACCTATATCAGATGGTTCTAAGTTTTGAAATAGGTTTTAAGTTTAACAAAGAAAATGAACCTCATTTTAATACACAATATGAAAAACAAAACATCAAAATGAAATTTTCATGTTATTGGAAGGTCGTTGGTACCTTTGATCTCCTAATGCACAACCATTTGGTCCTCATTAGAATTTATTATTCCTCCTGTATGTGAAATTTGTATGCTGTGTTTGTGGAATATTTTCCTTCCACACTATGTTGCCACACCATGTTGCCACACCCACACATTCGACAGACCATCTATAAAACAAGGAACTATCTCAATAATACGTTCACAATTTAGGGAGAAAGTGTCGTATACAGCAAACTCAACTTCCAGTTCCCATTTGACCAAAGATCTTTCACGACTAGCCTTGAGTTGTGAATATCAATTATCAACCCACGAAACACTTAACTCAAGCAACTCTTTCAATAGCCAAGGGCTATGCCAAAACACAGAGTGGTCATTCGTCGACTTTATCTAAAATCCCTCCTCCAGCATTGCTCATGCATTCACAATTGCCATCCATGTGACAAAGCCTATTTTTGGATACTTTCTAGTAGGTGTCCTTCATGCATGTAACGAGCTTTTAGAAGTGTGATCCATTACTAGTTAGAAGGATTTAACAAATCCCACACCAACTTCCCTAACAATGCAGTATTTTGTTGCCTTGCTACACATAGACCCAAACCACCTTAGCTTTTTCGGTTGTGTCATCACGTCCCATCTCACCATGTCCATTCCCTTGCCACTACTTCCCTTTCAAATGAAGCTTCTGTCGATCTATCTATAAAATCATAGATGGATCGAGGATACCACACGATTTGCATCCCATAGGCAGGGAGAGAGGCTAGGACTGCATTTCCTAATGCATTTATTCAACAATTTACTCTTCTGCACGTTGAGTTTTGAGTTTTACCTTATCCATCATATCAACAAAGTCGACATTCATTAGCTGTTAACAATTTTATTTTTAATAATTAATGTGGATTACAAATTTTATTTGTAGTATTTATATTAATTATTTATATTTAGTTGAACTCAATAAAAATGATCTAATTTTAGTGAACCTTTAGATTGTCAATAAAAAAAATGGATATGGATCCAAATAAGTGAAAATCAGATTTGACCTGTTAGGGGTTAATGAGAACCCTAACAGGTTTAAAATCGTAAAGATAGTCATGGTCTCCAATATGTCAAATCAGAAACATACATTTCTCTATCTCCCCATCAAAAAAGGAACATCAAGTCCCATTGAAGAATCCAATGATTTGGTTGGGGAAGACCATTATATCAAAAGGCTATTTCGCTGCAACCTTCGATCAATGTCAATAGATACAGGTATGTGTTACTAACTTTAACTTTATAATCTGACACAACACTTATTAATATTGATTAATGAAAAATTTCTATTTGCCTTAAGAAATTTATCCCAACAAATGGTATCAGAGCTGTCATTGTCGTTAGGTTATGAGGTTCTAAAG